CTTAAATATGTATTATACTTATATGTATATTCTGTATCCTAGTTAGAATTCAATATGTAAATTAATAATAAAGTTATATTCTTCATTTAGACTAGTTTATAGTATTGTACAATCAGTTTTAGGGCTAGGAAAACTCATATACATGAAATATAGGGAAAACTCACATATTGTGTTGTATCTTACTCAAAATTTGCTCATTTTAATTTATTTTTACTGGAATATGAAAGATACTTCAAAAGTATAATTTTTACAACTTAGATCATGTAATTTGGTTAAGTATTAGTTGAGTTATAGTAGATTTTGTATTTGAGTGTACTTAGTGTGACGAAAATCACGAATCGCGCGTGTGACAATATTTATGAAAACGACAGTAATGAATATTAATGTGAAATTTCTTTTACATACACCACAGTTATCCAACATATCCTCATCATCTGTGATTACATTAGGAACATCCTGATCTCTGGGCTCGAGGTTATTGGAAGATGCTACTGTAGTTGCTTCTAAATGCTGAACCACTTCTTTAACAGTATAGTTTGTGTCTGCAGCAAGCCATAGCTGATAATAGAATTGTGTTTCTGTCAGCACAAAAGTTATCATATTATTAAATTGTTCACCTGAAACGAATTGAATGCAGTCTCGAGTCGATATTCACATGCAGAAATGGCATACTCTGTTTCTTCCTTTCTGTGTATACGTTGCATAAATGTCCTTCCCAACAAATGTTTCATTTTAGAATGCACTCCATCAAGTTCCCTATAAGATTTCAGCAAAATGATTGAATAGAAACTAAGAACCATGAATACATACATTTCCAGCTCCTGCATTTTCAACTGCAGTGAATCAAGAGAGACACTTGGGTGACTCTCTGACAGATCACGCAGCTGTAGTAGGAAATCTACAGCTCGAGAGACAAGGAGCAGGCAGGCAACTTTGTTTTCTCGGATCTCCTGGTATATATTAAAAATGTCTTCAACTGTTTCTCTAAATCTTCCTGGAACATTGATGTGCATACCTGAGCTGTATCAAGCATGGAGAGGGCTATGTCGGCTGCACATTTGGTAGGCCCAAAATTGGCAACCTCTGAGAGGTTCTTCACTAGTGTTGCAAGTATACGTCCTGAGATGATACCTGTACCACCACCACGAGACCCAAGCCGTAGACGAAACGGAAGCTTCATAGGGAAAACAAAGGAGAGGAGTGAGGTGATAAGAAGGCAAGGACAAGTCAGACTTTCAAATATTTAAGTGAGTTGGCACCAAATTAGCTTGTGAGCCATACACTCCTGCATCTTCTACAAGCGCCACACTAGCAGATGACTGAATAATCGGGTATTCTTGAAAATATTCTAATTCACTCTTTGCCGCCGTTTGCACAGATACAAATGCAAGATTGCCTTATCTATGCGCGCTGAAACGGCCAAGAATAGCTTTACTATTAGACACTTCGCGATTGATTGATTTCGCAATTGATTGATTTCACATTTGATTGATGTTCCGCTCTGCTGTTTGCTTCCTTAGTCCTTTCCTACCAGGGTAATAAGCTGAAACAAGAAGTGAAAGAGATTTATGTGCACGATATCTAATGAAATGGAGTGGATTATCTCTGGGCAACTAAGCACGTGCTTCTGTCTGCTTCTGCCCTATGCCAGGGCTCAACGTTGTTGGACATGTCCAAGAGACAGCAATCGCAGAGCTCGTCATCTAAATCACAAACGAAGCGAGTAAAGACAGTATCTATTGGTGCACCCTCACCGGATGATCGTAGTGTACCATCAGAAAATAACCCGTCGTCGTCAGCGTTGTCTACTCGCAGTTTGAAGCAAGAGCGTCCGCCTTCACTCTCAAGTCTATGTATCCGCGCCTTCAGTCGGAATTTTGCCGAGTTCTCTGACGATGAACACTGGGATGTGACAAGAAAGTGGCTTCAGATACTCCCCGAGACGGCACTACCTGGCTTGTTTGCCGTGCTCAAGGCTCAACATCCGCGACGGCTGAATCATGCTGTGATCACAACCGTGGGTTATGAACTGAGATCCTTAGATGATTCACAGTTCAGTTTGTGCCCTTACTTAGTACTTTATGCGTGGTACATCGCTATCATTGGATGGCGATCTTCCGCTCACGACACAAACGTTGGCGGCTATTCCACGCGTATTTGGTAGGAAGCTGCTCGTTTTGGAGCTGAGTGATGTCGACAAGTTCTCTGACTCGAATTATGCTGCAATGGTCAACGGACTCCCCTCGCTCACTAGTCTGGTGCTAAGGTACGTCGAGTGAATATCACTAGCCGAACCGACAGACATATAGCCTTTGTAGGAATTGTCCCAAAGTAGGACCATTGACTGTGGAAGCAGTGGCTACTACTTGTCGACAATTGATAAAAGTAAACTTCAGCTTCACAAGCATCACCGCCTCATCACTCTTGCCTTTGCTCAAATCATGTCCTGGCCTTGAAGTCTTGAAATTAGCGGGTATCCAAAATCTGGTGAGAGAAATTGACGTTGCCTGATTCTTTTCGCTAACTTACGGTCGTTATGATAGTCAGATGCGACTTTGTTGCGAATGTTCGCTTCGATTAAAGACGATGATGCGTTGAACGATCACTCATCTCTGAGAAACCTAAAGTCGCTGAAACTCCGCCATGACACGATTTCTGAAGCTCCTATTGTGTCGTTCCTTCACCATTGCACGAAACTGGAGCGTCTGGATGTATCATTTACGCTTGCAAAACATGTCCCAGACCTTCCTATCGCGCCTCCCATAGAGAAACTCTCGCTCACATCAACTTTCATCCCTGGAAAGGAATTAATCGAGCTAGTAACCCGTTTACCAAGGTTGAAAATATTAAACATTGGTGCTATGGGTGTAAAGGCTGCTACTAGTACCACATTGACGACTTCAACGGCTATGACGCTTAATGACGACGTGTTGCGACTTTTGACAGATGCGCTTGCGGGCTGCTGCTCACTTCAGAGTGTGAACCTAGTGCAGAATTCAAAACTCGGAGCTACTAAAGGTCAAAATAGCGCCATCGCATACTTCATTCGTCATGTCGGAAGAAAACTATCATATTTGAATTTGTCTGGTGTTGCGGTGCGTTCTGCGGACCTTGCAGCGTTGGTGTCGGATGGTCCGGAGGAGCAAACTTCGCCATTAGAAACGTTGATTTTGAATAAATCATTGATTGACGACGATTGCGCGCCTTGGATCTCGAGTTGCCGTTCGTTGAAAGTACTCGAACTTGCCGAAACGAGGATCTCAGGTAAATGAGGTATCGTTTATCCTTGAAACTTTGAGGATCTAACGAAATATCTTCAGAGGAGGGACTCTTTCCGATCATTAATTCTTGTCACAGGCTATCAAAACTCAATCTCACGGGATGCAGAGGGGTGAAACTTGCTGATCGCAGGCGATTTTTCGAGGTCAGGATTCTTTATTTGTGTATCTCCGATCAATTACTAATGCCCTCATTCCATCTTCCAGGTTTGGGAGGAACGAAGAATGAGCAATGTATAGATCCGACTACGGCAACATGGCACGACCCGGAACAGATACCATGTTCGCCACAGATCGAGACATCACTGAGCAACCGCAGTCGCCGTGCGGATTAAGCCCGAATGTGTAGATGGCTCGAGAGAAGCGTGCATTGCACCGTTTGCATCGACGCGGGGGTTTTTGATTTCAAAATGCGAACTGAGGCTGAGCTAAACTCGGACCAACACAACGGCTCGGAAGACAGTGCATCACTGCTAGTTTTTACCTCGGAATGCGATCCTCGAGTATGGGTGATAAAAGGAGAAGTGAAGACATGGGAAGTACAGCTTAGAATACACATTGTACCGAGTTCCTTTCAGATATTTTAGGTTAATACAATCAGATATTTGTATAGTATATAAGACCACACTAAGTTCTCGTGTTTGTACTGTTCTCCTCGCCCTAACAATACTCTAACATGAATCCCTCAATTGCGTTGATGAAGTCATCTGGGTCCTTCTCCTCGATTTCCAGCTTCTTTCCCTCTTCCTCATTATCACGCAACCATTCAGAGTCAACCATGAATGGGAAGACGCGGTGCCCTTCTGCAGGTGCACGTTTAATATTCCTGCCCAAGTCGACTTTTGCGATCGTGGGACGTGAGTTGCGCCTCTGTCGCTGCTGTCGCTGCTCGGATAAGTCTTGTGCGACCCCATCAAGCCACTGCAATATCTCGGTGAACTATTATCTCAGTGAGTGCTTATGGTTCTCTGTAAATTGAACTGAAGTATCAATACCACTTTCGAACGGAACTCCTTCCTTCGCAATTCCCACATTTCGACATTCTCAAACGGTGATTCCTCAGAGATGCCCGCTTTGTCAAGCTTTCTTTCCCGATGCTCGTCTCTTGCACCCCATATATTGTTCTTGTCGGACACTTCTGAGGAATCAAGGTCGCTATGGCAAGACGACATGAATTCAGGGTCAAAAATTTCGTCCGGAAGAGTGCAGTCGTAGCTATCTTTAAACTCCTCTCTTGCAGACATGCGTCTCTTGCTTAGCTACAATTCTGTTCATTAGAATAAGAGATGACGTGTTTTGGACAATAACATACTGCAACTCGACGTCCGTACCGACGATTCTTCCTCTGATGTTTATCATTCTTTTTCTTTCTGTCTCGATCACCCTTAATTTTAGCTGCTGCTTTCCAGCTATTGAACGCCGTCGATGCGAATGACACGCAATCCGCCAAGGTAAATGGCTGCCCTTCAAGCCCGTACTGGCCTGTCAGAGGGTGCTAGGAGGAATAAATTATTTTATGATTTATCGAGATGTTTGGTACATACTTTGTGTGCTTCTGTCACTGTCTTTGCAGCCTGCTGAATTACTAGTCTATTCCCCTCAGACGTCGCAGTTCCTTCGAGGTCTAGAGGCATATAATTATCAAAACGTTCCCACTGGCCTGACTTGCCTCTGCCAGTAAGGCGTTTTATTTCGTCGCGAACTTCTTTCTGAAAATCATCGGAGTAATGTGGGTCAACTCGTCAAATAAATGAGGATGTTACATTACGCACCATCAGTCGCTTCTTCATTTTACTCTGTTCCTCAGTCAAAAGCATCAGACCTCCAAGCTTGCGTTTCTTTCGGCCTTTCTCTTCTCTGCTGTTTCCTTCTTTGCCATTTCCTCCCCCGACGTTCCCTTCTCTGTCGTTTGCCTCAGAAGCTCGCTTCGTCCCTGCCAACTGCGATTCGAGTGCTTTAATTCGATTTTGCATTTCGTCAACTTGTCGGCGCTGACGAGCTAACACTGCAGCAATGTCATCCGTTCGCTCTGGATCCACAGGAGATGCATTAAGTGCAGGAGTTTCGGATGAGGCGCCCAGTGGTGGGAAAGATGCTGATGCATGCAACGGCTCTTGAGTGGGTGCTAGAGTTGTATGCGTATCGTGCGCAACCGGCTGAAACACGCCTTGTGCATCGAAATACGACGAGGAGTATGAGTTGATGTGGTAATCGTAGTGGGGTGCGTCGCCTGAGCTCATTTCGTGTTCTCGTAGTGCTGAAGCAGCTGGGGGTGTAATGCACCACGCTGCGTCCATGCGCTTTAACTCCTCCTTCGGATTGATGGTATCATTATTAGTCAGTGTCTTTTTTAATTTCCGGCAAGATAGCACAATTAACGAGGTGCACTCGGTGTGCAAGAGCTCCCGACTCACTCCTCGGGAAGCACGTCTGAACCGGATATGCATTGATCTAGTCGCGTATTTAATCTACCTTACTTGTTGTACTAAATCTACACGGTTTATTGCAGTTGATATACACAAACGCATCGTAAATGGTATACCTTATGATTTGTATTTCATCTACACGATCTTGGGTACCTAATCTACCCGAGTTGATGCGCTTGGCCTACACGGCGTTTCGTGTACCAGGGCTACACCGCGTCGACGGTCGAGTATCCGATGTACCACACGGAGCCTATCACAACTGCAGGATGCGTCATTTACTGACCAGCTAGATCACTACGATCCCCGGGCGTTCCGCCCGCCCATGCGCTGGCTATATTTTGTTTCCTACGTAATCTGAGGTATCTGATCTACACAAAAAATGGTTGTGTATCTGACCTACATAGCATAGTGCCCGATCATGAATTGGAGGCGTGAGATTGCGGTCTTCGATTTCCATTACATCCTCATTGCACGGAAACCGGCACCTGCACCTGGGCTGGCACACATCACAGAAAACGGCTAGTTCCTCTGCCCTCTCTTTCAACAACCAAGAGAGCATTGATTATGGCACATAAGATATAAAAGGAGCCTCATCGAACAGTTCTCTCTTATCAACTTACGACGAGCTTCCCTTTGGTAAGCCTGAGTCCTCCATTCACCCGTTTGTCCCCCTCGCTGCCCAACTCACAACGTTAATGCAGTTACATCTTTGCTCATCGTTGTTATTGCGAACACAGTACTCTCACTTGTTTTCACTTGCGATAAGGCAGGTACGTTGAGTACTCCTGCTCTGCTTTTCACCCGAGATCTCACACATATCTGCAGTGCCAGCATGTCGACCTTCGTCTACGGAAACAACCTGAACGGTTGTACCATCACGATATCGAACCTAGTCCAGCACAACGCGCCGCAGCCCAATACCGCCCCCGCCCACCACGGCAATAGAGCGCAACACGGCTTTGTTCCGGCGACACCTCCGCCGTCATACGACTCACATGCTGAAGGAAGTGTCGACGAATACGCGTCTAGTGAGACCCTTGTGGACGACCACGACTCTGACGCTGCCGCTGACCAGGAAGCAGGCGACGAGAACTAAGCCTTCCCGGCCGCGGTGGTCGCCAAGTAATTCGAAGTTTTCCTGCATCTTGTATCTTGTTCCCTATATCATGTAACGGTTGGATGGCGAATTTAGTTCCAATACACCCGCTGTTGACGTAGTTAGGGGTGTTTTTGTGTTACGAATTTTGCTGCGATTAAGAACGATGACTGAATGAACGAGCACCCGCCCTGATACGGTTTAAACTCGCCAATAGTTCAACAAGGAGCAATGAGCGGAATTGTCAACTCGCATTTCCTGCGGCATTGTTTGAACTCCGTTAGTCTGATACAGGGTTAGGAAAAGCAGAAAATTTAATATACATAGATAGCACCGCAAAGCACCCTTGATGTGTAGTCTGTGACAAATACCGCGCACAATGCGCCTCGAAAAGATCATTGAGACGCGCCGCTAGCTATCCAAATCGTCCGAAACGGGGAGCCGATTTCACTAAATTCAGCGAGGAGTGCGTTTCGCGCTCTCTACTCACTAGTACGATGCGGAACAAATATCAAGTTCGCCACGGATCGAAACATCACTGAGCAGTTGCAGAAGCCGAACAGATCAATCCAGAATACACAGATGGCTTTCATTGAGAGAGAAAGTGCCTTGCACTGCACGCTTATCGAGTTTCAGTACGGCCTAAGAGTTGATTCCGAAAGGCAAGCTGAGGGTGAGTAGTCAGAGTAGAGTGGATTTCGGATCTGGCGTATTCGACTGACACGAGGTTTGTCCGACGTAATACGATGATGGATAGCTGTGTGTATTGGGAAGTTGGTATTGTAGCGTATTGTCTGCTCATTTCGTGTTACCGTAGTGTTACGGCAGCCAGAGGGGATAATACACTATGCTGCGTCCATGCACTTCAAATCTTCCTTCGGATCGATGGTATCAGTCTTAGTATACTCAGCGGGCAAGAAAAAGAAAATTGCCGACTCACCCAGACAATACATCTGAATGAATAGTTTTTTCGGATACAATGATCCGGTCAAATTAATAGCTGACTGCATAGCTTGGTGTACTGGACCTGTGCAATTTGGTGTAGTTGCTGTGCACGACGCATTTTGTGTAGTTTACATAACGTAACGCATATAATGTGCGAAACGTCATGTACTTCATCTACATAACCTAATGTGCGCAGCCTACATAGTGTTCATGTATCTGGAATACACGGCACCACGTGTTTGTTATGCCAGACAGAGCGTGTCTCAACTACGCGAGTCGCTGTATGCGCCCTACAAAGATTAGTGTATTTCATCTATGCAAGAAATCATCGGTGTATTTTACCTGCATGGCATGGTACCTGATTAAAAGTTGGAGATAGATTTAGTTCCGAGCACATCTTCGTTGCGCAGGGAACTGCAGATATTCGCTGTTCTGGCGCTCATGACAGAAAACAGCTAGCTCCTCGGTTCTCTCTTCCAATAACCAGTGACCTTGATTATGGCACATATGGTATAAAAGGGGACCACATTTGACGGGGCTCTCTCACCAACTCGCAACAAACGCCTCTGCGTAAGCCTGAGACCTCCATTTACCCGCCCATCGTGCTCACCGTCCGGTTCACAACATCGTCAATATAGTCACTCCTTTGCGTGTCATCGTCGCTGTAGACGCATTGCTATCACTTGTTCTGACTTGCAACAAGACAGGTACGCCGAGCACCGTCGCTGTGTCGTTCTCTCGAGATCTCATACCGCCTTTCATGCCAGCATGTCGATGTTCGTTTACGGAAACAACCTGACCAGTTGCACCACTACGATACAAGTCTTGGTGCAGCACAACGCGCCGCAGACCAATACTACTTGCGCCTGCGCGGGCCATGAGGCGCAACAAGGCTCCATCCCAACGAGCCCTCCACCGCCGTATGAGCCCCGTGCTGAAGGCACTATTGATGAAGATGCGGATAGCGAGACTCTTGTGGACGATCGTAGCTCTGACGCTGCTTCTGACCAGGAAGGAGGCAATGAGAACCGAGCCATCCCAGCAGGGGTTGTCGCCAAGTAATTCGTAGATTTCGTAAATCTTGTTCCCAATGTTGTGTAACGGCTCGACGGCAAGTTGAGTTCCAATACGCCCGCTGTTGACGTAGTTAGAATTGTTTTTGTGTTGCGAAATTTTGCTGCAATCAGGAATGTTGACCGAATGGACGAGAACCTGGCCTAGAAAGGTCTGAGCTCGCTGATACCTTGACGAGAAGTAATGAACGGAATTGTCAGCTTGCACTTCCTGCGGCGTTGCTTGAACTCTGCCAGTCTCATACCGAGTTAGGAAAAAAAAGGGGATAAAAAGAAATATATAGCACCGCAAAGCACCCACAATGACAAATACTGCATACAACGCGCCTCGAAAAGATCACTGAGACGCAGCACTAGCTACCCAAATCAGTCCAAAACGCGGAGATGGTTTCACCAGGTTCAGTGGAGGATGCATCTCGCGCTCTCCACCGACAGAGGAAGTGCTCGGTCTTCGCTTGTCAGCCTCGGATGAAGATGGCTTAAGAGACGAGACATCCAATGGGGCCATTAGAGGCGAGAGTAGAAGCCTGACGTTGCTGATACTCTGAGAAATACTTCGTTGCATTTCCGTCTTGATTTCGAGGTGGGACTCTCGGATATGCGATGGTAAGGCCTATAACAGTTAGCTTGGCGCTGACTATACTTTACGATGCACTGTCGACGTACCTGATAAGATTTCTCGATAGTCCGATCCAACGAGGATGCAGACTTCTTAAGTGGGGTACCCCACTCGTCGCAGATGGCCTTTAAGAAGTCTAAATCCCTTATCAATTGCAGGTCAGGCTGCCGCTTTGACTGTTGTAGTGACTCGGCGATGACGTCTACGAATCGAATTAGTATTGTTTTGGCTACTGCGGATCGCTGGGTATCGTCCTTGAAATGGCCGAACTTTTCTACGGACTCCACAAGTGAAAGGAGTGCGTTCATTAACTGAGGCGAAGTATTGGAAGGGAGTGTGGCTTATTAAGGTCATTTAGTATAGGCAAGGCTTGGCCTTAAGGAGTCAACTTACGAGTATGATTGATGGTATGAGATTTTGCGGTGGGCTCGCCCAGGAAGGTGTCTCTTGCGGATGCAATAGCAATCGTGGCACATTTTTCTACGCATACATCGTAAATGCGACGTGCCCGCGCATGGCACTCTGTAAGCTGTAATAAGTCTCCGAGGTCAATGGAAAGACTGACGACGTACCGTCACTGAAGGCAGCAGAGCATCGCAGATAACTAATTAAAGGAGATATTGATAGTTTTTGAGCTATTCGGGCCAACAAGTATAAACGCTTTTTTCGCTCTCCTGGACAGCCATAAGACGATATCGGTGCACAACAGCTAAAATATCATACCTGAATCCTCAGTTTCCGCGCCAAGCAAGCCTTCCACTGAAGTGACCAGCTCGCCAGCAGCTTTTTCTGAGTCAGAAGCGTACAGCGTACGAAAACTATTCCCGAGCTATATTAGTCCACTGGCTAACTGCGCGGGTAACGAAAACGTACGTATCATCCTGGTCATCTGTGAATGCGCGGTCTAGGTCATCGCGCAGTTTAACCGTGGCGGACTCTGTGTCGGATAAAAGAGTGTCAATCCTTGGTGTCATGCCATCGATTCGCTGTTGAATGCCATGCTTAAACCGATTAAATGAAGATTGTGCTAGTGGTACGTTCAAGGATGCATGTGTTACTGAGGGGGTCGGGGGTGCTGAAAGAAGGAACTCTACGGGTGATAGTTCTATACAAAGTGCGAAGTGAGGCCAAAGACTCAACCTGTGTTGTTTATAGCTTACCAAAATGACAGTCCTCCCTTTCTTCCTGAACAGCCTCGACTAGGGAGTGCAAGTTATTGCGGAACGAGGATGAGAGATTTTCCAACGCGGTTTTCCATATCTCCTGAATACGAGTCCCGCACAGATTATCAACTAGCGTGCGCAGTTCTTTGATGTCGTCTCCGTCTAAGAGATCTGTGGATGCTGAAATCCATTCCAATGCAGAGGAGCGAAGCTCCCAAACATTTTTGACTGTCCCCAGGTGAGATAACCACGAGCCAGCCGCCTCGTGAAGATGCTTCGTCGCATCGGCAAACCAGGTCCGCAATTTTGCGTTCAAAGCACGCGTGTTAATGGTGGACGAGTGAGATTCTAAATCGATGAATGGTCGGTATGATCTGATGTCCACAGGGAGTGCAAGGAAGTGGTTTGAGTTAGGCAATGAGGACAGAAGAGCTTGCGAAGAGAGTCGGAGCTCCAGTGGAAGTGATTCTTCCGGGTGAGGTGAGTCGCTTTGGGTGAACATCAGTACCTGCGTGATCATCGAAGGAGAGCCGTCGACATGTTCTCGGAACACCGCACGAGCTCCACCAACAGTTCCAACAATTGCACCTAAAATCGACCGGAAAGCATCCCAAACGTTTTTGATGCGCTCTCTACTAACAGATCTTGCGGGGGCAGACGAAGTTTTAGCATCTTTTCCCCAGGATTCCTTGATTGTCACATAAAGGTTTTGCAACATCCGAGATCGTTGCTTCAGGAATACATCCAACGCATCGGATAAAGGTAGGGAGTCAAGAAGATGGAGGGAAAGTACTGCCCCACAAAGATCCTACATCGGGGCATTTAGGATATAGAGAGTCTGAACATCTAAGGTAATCTCTCACCCGGGGTTCAAGACTTTGTTCTCGGAGAGAAAGGGTGGCCCGATGTGAGATTTGCGTTCGAAACTGAGATACGGATTCCCATTGTCGCTGGACCAGAGGAAATTGGTCCTAAGCCACTATATTAACACACTTGTTCTTCTAATTAAGGACGGATCATACCTTGACATGTATCCCATGCTGTATCCAATCCTGGCCTTCAACTTCGCCCTCATTGACCAAGGACCGATACACAACACGGGCGAGTAGGAAGAGCCATGCAGCATGCAAACATCGTTTCCTCTCCAGTAATCGCCATAGATGTTCCGGGGCGTCGAGTAGGAGCTTCAGATGCGCGGCAAGACATTGAAATATCTTTAATTGTGCATCTTGGGATTAGTCAGTTCTGGATTGAGTTGAGAAGTTAATTCAACAAACCTTCGACTTCACTGCCCTTTTTGGCTCCGCTGGGGGAAGCTTGTGCGCGAAGGTCCGAGGATACGATTTGCTTCATCCTCGTTACTGTATCAAGGACCCGCTTGGATGAATGGGACATGGCAATGATTGAAGTTGAAGCTTGTAGCAGATCTCGGTACCGTTCGCTGAGGATGCGTCAATCACTGTCCTGCATACAATTCTGGCGCTGTAGACACATACCCAACCATCATCCGAAGCTCTTCCTGTTTTGCATCCACATCTGACCTGAATACCCATTAATATAAGACAAGGAAAGTGCCCAAGCATGGTCCATCCGTACCTTAACCTATGCAAAATAGATTTCACCTCATGCACAGTATGTTTCTCAAACAACTCATCCGGATCCAGCGAAAGCACATTATCCTTAGATTTGAGTCCGTTCGGTAGCGAGGATGATGATGGTATTGAGCGAGCTGATCCATTCTGAACCAGACCTGGTCGTGATTTTTGAGGAGGGGATCGCAAGTTTCTCGGGAGCGACTGAGCAGAGGTGCTTGGTGTTGTTTTTGACATGGCTCGATGTTACGTCACAAGCCCAAGAGTTGGTATCAATTCCAATCGCTCCTAGCGTCAGCATATGATAGTACTTGCGGCGAACATGAAGCTGTAGTGTCTGACAGAGTTATGAGGTACAGATTGGCAGAGGCTTCTTGCACATCACGTGAGCGATACGAAACACGTCAACACGTCAGATATTTTTATATCAAATATGTACTTTTAGTATATTCGAGAATAAAAGTCAAAATTAAATCTCTTTCTCGCTATTAAAAAAATCCAACACACGATATAGAAGCGAAAATATCTATTTGATCATTCAGTTCACCGACGTCCTCGCAGGTAATTCGAAGAATAGCTGATAAATTAGTGCTGAATACGCGAAATACAGAGAACCCAAACTTAAAGAGTACGAACACGAAATACGATGTCCCTCCCAAGGAGGTGAGTTTTATACGGCATTTGCCTTGCCTTTCCCCTTGCCCTCACTATCAGATACACCAATATCAACCTCAGTGACACTTCTATGCCTATCGTTTGGGTGGAGTCGACCAAAATCCGAGGCAGGTGAACTGGGACTTGACGAAGGCGAGGGTGACCCAGGTTGAGGTGGTTGAACAGCTGGTTCTTTAGCAGGAGCTGCAGAAGATGCCATGCGTTGGTCGAGGGCCTTCAGTGCTAGAGCTCTGTTTTTGAAGGCTTAGAATTTCTGTCAAAAAATAGTGCTGTAACATCTTCTCACCTTCGCCGCTCGGCTTCAGCACGTGGTCCACCAGGAAGTTGAGCGTAGCCTCCGGACTCGATGTCAGATCCCGCTCTGGGGATGACTCGGAATCGAGTGGCTAGAGGATATACAAAGTTACCCAACATATTGATTGGTGGGCTATAAGGTGATAAATGATATGACGTAGTACAGAAAGCATTTCAACATACTGAATAAAAGGAGGGAACCACTGCGCGAAAGCAAAGGTCTCGCTTCGATCTCCATAGGAGTCACCAACAATTGCGTCGCCCTTGTTCTTCTTGTAGAATCGAAGGTACGTCCAAGCGACGAGCCAGCCCCATTGTATGTTAATCCAAGGCGACTGGAATCCTAGCAAAACTAAGACAGTAGACAGAGTTACGTATGCCATAGGTAATCGCTGTGATGTACATAAACCAGACATTCAATGTTGATAGCTGGATGTAAAACTACCTTTACGCGAACTCTGATTACACCGAATACTTGCACTTGATGCTCGGGTATCAGCTGGGTGAAGGCAACCAGAATGCCCGTCTGTGATGGCAATGTTAATAGCAACCCGGCACCAAAGAGCATTTGACACTTTACCTGTAGGGCCATTTGGCCATGATATTCAATATTATAACTACAAGTTTAAGTGTGAGATTGTTTTTAGTACCAAAGGTCGGGGCACGCACAGGAACAGATCAGCATTTCTAGTAATGAGAAATTCGGCCCAGTTGATAACGAATGACTATGGCGGAATAAATACGTGCTGTTGCAGTTCGACAAGATGATGACTCACGACAACATTTGGTAATGTCGTTACGATTGCAATGAAAATGAACGTTTCCAGAGAACCCCATAAACGCTCCAAATATCGCAAGGAGACGGGAACAAAAATAAGGGACAAGAGGAGCTGTTTGACTGTGGTTAATGACATTTATACCAACAAGTGTTATTCTAACCTCTAAAACAGTTGTTTCCACTAATCCGGCGGTGAAGAACGTCCACGGATAGAACAGACTTGTTCCGGGAACAAGTGTGAGGTAAGGCGTCGAATAAGGAACGGGGAAAGGCCCGTCACTCCATCGCTTCAAGTAGTACAACGAAGAGAACACGATAGTTGCGGCAGTGAAACAACGTGTTGTCAGAGGCGTCGAGGTGATCAATTGTAGGGGAGAAGACAGTATGGCCATCTCGAGATGACCTCACAATGATTCGACTTCGTAACCCCTTTCGATCACGTCCCTGAGGTGTTTAGTGGTTCTTGGCAGTGCTAACACCAACTGGGGGCGTATACAAGTGAGTCGAGAGCGCCGCTATGCTGGCCTTTAAGCCAAGATACTGACTGAGAAAGCGCGCGACTTGACGTAGTTGCGCAGAAGGGCCAGCACGCGTAGCAAGCTGCAAAACGACCGTTCGCAGATGGGCGGTCATCACGTGAAGTTTAGGGCCGGAACTAAACACTATGTGTGACACTAGGCAGATCTGTTGCTGCTCTCTCGTCGACGTTCATCATGTCAGATTATGATTTTCGGCCCGGCGGGTCCCTCAAGCTGAAAAAGGGTGTTATAGAGGGTAAGGTGACTAAAAAGTGAGTGTGCGGTTGCTCATGGGACCATGTTTGGCTGCTAATTGCTGCATGTAGGAAGAAAAAGAAAGATAAATCATCCAAGCTCAAAGCCCTCAAAGAAGAGCCTGCATCGCTCAGTGACGATGGTACTCGCGAAGCATCTTCATCCAAGCTAGATGGAAAGTCTTCCGTGGACGGAAGTAGCGACGGCAAGACGGAAGCTGAAAGGCGATTTGAGGAAATACAGCGCCGCCGGGTAAGACCTTCGAGTTCTCCACGTATTTTATTAGCATTTGCTCAAATATTGGTACAGATGGAAGAACGTGTCAAAAAGCTTGCCTCACAAACGCATAAGGAACGAGTTAATGTCTTCAATTCAAAACTAGAGGCTCTCAGTGAACACCACGATATACCAAAGGTAAACAGCTGCTTCGGACTTGATTTGCGAGCCTCCGTTCTAATTTATTACCCAGGTCGGTCCAGGATAAGAGCAGCCGTATATTTCCGGGATTCAGCCGTTCGTCTTGCATTGCTCGCCACTTGTCTCGCTGTTGCACTTCTTGTACTTTTATAACAATTGAACATGTCTGTTTTGCATGTTTTCGGCCTTGTAAATGGATAGTTGGCAATGAGTAGATATAATCTAGGAGTGACAACAAGATATAAGACCATATACGATACAGATCAGTGATAGTCACACTGTATTTGAGTTTACCTGTGTGGGTCCCGCTTATCCACGCCGCCCTCGCGACTTGTTCTTTGACCTCCACCACACCCGACGACCTCCTCAACAGCATGAATGCGTCTACATCAAAAACAGGCGTGAACAAGTTGTCTGATCGGAAGCCACATGTCTGCCCGTCGTCAAAAGCAAAGCACCCGTCTCAACGTTGGGAAACAGCTTTTGTGTACACTTTCATCCTCAAATTCACGAATCTGCGTACAAAAATCGAAAGCTTCGAGGGCCAGCCTGAGTAAGAGATTTTCAATGCCAGCGCAAATATTTACGTGATTTTACGCGGTTTTTGGTTATTGACAGTCTGGAAGAGGCCCTGCTGTCTCCAACACAGCACCCAATCCTAGTACAAACCCTATCGCGTTTCGTGTTGAATCTCAAGCCACAAACGCGTAATCTTAGGTGAGGATCGTCAAAGCCGTCGTACTCTGCCCTCCCGAGCGCTAATTAGGCGTGTTTTCACTAGTCCTGATCAATTGGCGACCACGGTGTGGTCCATCCTGCAGGAACATATCAAGTCTCCGACGGAACGCACTGTCTTCTGGAATGACGAACTTGGTATGAACGTTGATCCATTGCAAGGCATTGAGGGAGGTATTTGGGGTGCAGATTGGGACCTAAAAGTGAGTGCCGTTTTATTCATGTGCTGCAATTTGTTGCTCATTTTTCTGCTCAGCTCCGCATTCTTCGCATGCTGGTCGAACTGCAGCTCACATACAATCCAGAGATCAAGGAAATCATCGATAGGGCATGGGGTGTCGTTCACAACAAACATAGAAAGCGAGACACGTTGCCAGCTCCACTCGATCCCAGCGATCCTCACAGCATTGAACGGCTAAGCACAGTTCCTATCGGACAGGACAACGCCCGAGTACGATACTGGGCATTTGATGGTCAGTACTCTTCAGATCAGTTTTGTCTCCCGTGTTTGCTGTTATTTGTGTCATTCTGACGATTCTGTTCTGGTATGAATCTCAACTTTCGCGGCTTTATCGGCTCTTAATGACGACATCAGACTCGCCGCGTCTTTATGTATCAACAAACCCTTGGAAGGTACTAGCACCTTGCGGAATAGCTAAACGACGAGATTATAGCTGATTCGACTCCGTAACTTAGGTGACATCAGAGTTTAGAACTATCGCCACAACGAAGGAAGAGTACCTCAAAGTCATTGAAGACCTGGTCTCAAGAGAACCCAAATCATCCAAAAAGCATACTAAAGGGGAGATACACCTTATTCAACTACGAGAGAAGCTGCAGAGCCGATTAGAGGCGATTGATCAAGAATTAAATGTGAGTATTTTCCATTCAGTGATCATCATTACTGCCCGCCATTTCACTGGCCGCTGAGCTTGTAACTGAATTATACCCCCCTACAGCGTGTTGCAAAGGTCCGCAGGAAACTTGAGCAGAAGGAAATTCTGAAGGCTCAGGCAGAGCTGCGCTCGACCCGAACCCGACGGCAGACTCGCAGACCGGACTACGTGTACAATCAGGAGTTTGATGATGAGGTGAGCGGTGCTAAATATTCAGGAATCACTATTGCCTCTCTCTCATCACGTTGCCAGGATGACGGTGATGAGTACAAGTACCAAGACGACGACGACGACGAAGAGCATATGGAACTTGACGGTGAGGAATACGGCATTGGTCGTAGGCGTTCAGAAAGGACGGCGACCAAAAATGCTAATGGCAAGCGCGGATCCGACGGCTTTGTTGACTGGCGAGTGGAACGACGGTCTACAAGGTTGGGTAAAAATCCGGATTTCACAATCGACGGCGGCCCCTCCACAAAGCGAGCGCGGACTGAAGAGCGCAGTGTCTCCAGCGCCCCGTCTGATACGATGGTTTCACCAGTCATGTCCGGCAACAACAACGGCCCGTCAAAGAAGAACGGAATAACAAACGTGAAGGAAAACGAAGTTGCTGTGGAAGTAGTCCCCGGGAAGAAGAAAAGCAAGTTTTGGTACTATGCGGTTGAGCCTGCCCCCGGTCCTACGCCTTCTTCACCAGCACAGTCCAGCAGCACCGAGAATCTCGACCTCAACGGACTTGAACTTAATGGAAAGGCCGAAAATGGTACTGCCGTCAACGGGTATCAAAATAGCGTACAAGAAACGAATGGAAGCGGTCTCGATGCTGTCGTAGAGATGAACGAGGCCTAACTCGAGGCAAAACTGGACTCGAAGGCGGATTTTGTCATCAGGGGAAGCACCGAGGCCTATTCTGATTGTCACGCGATCTACGTTCGTCTTATTTTCAGCGTGTAAAAGATTGCTTTTGGCCTGTACCACTCTCTCTCCCTGTTCAACAGTCTTGCAAATGCCTTAGACTTTTCCCACTCGTTTCAGAAAATGTTACAAGACGAAAAAGAGAGTTGGCGTTTGTGATTGCCGAAATTGGGGACAACGAAATTATTATGATATTCGGAAACAAAAAACGAAAACCTTCCTTTTCCTGCTCCCCCAAAAAGATGGGTTACTTCGGAGAATACCGAATGTGCTGTCTCTCTCGCGTGGCTAGTTCAGGCGCTTGGCTTTTGGAGCTGTCCAACAAAGTCTAACAATTCGGGACCTGGTCCTTTTGTTTCCACGCATAATTTGCTTTCTGAAATGGTATTCGGTGCTTTTCGTTTTCATTCCCCGGTTATACGACGTATGCCAATTGGTGCAAACGGGTGTCTACGAATTGCCGGTGGGTTCCAAAAATGGTGAACCCCATTTCTTCTTTCAAAATTTTCCGCCCTCTAGCAACCCCCTCCGCATTAATCTCTGCTTAACCGTACACAACCTTATACAAAACTCCTTCCCGCAGTCTGCATGTCCGTTTCTTTTGGTTCGTCTTCATGCTTTGATCATTTGTACATGGCGCTCCTTTTCCTTTCATAATTTATAAATAGACAGAGATCCGTACTTTATCCATTGGCTCAATTACTCGCAAAACTTTATATCAAACATATAATAGAAAAACTTGCATTGTCTTTTCTCTCACTCACGTAACTCCTGAACTTTGAAAAATTCAACTGCTTGGCGCTTGTAGTGGCGTAACCTTTGATTTTCTCTGCGAAAATTAGAGCTGTGTTGTAATAGTAATCTTGGTGACATGTGATATGCCAGCTTTGTGATTAGTTTATCCAAACTTATGCATTTCTATTTCCATTAGTATTAGAATGCGGTCCGTGCTTTAAGAGAGTACGAGCAATATGCTTGTCTAATGAGGAGAGCAGTCGACCTTTCGTTGTATCAAATTTCAATGACAAGTGCCGTAACCTTAGATATTTTTAGCAAGTCGCGTTATTGTCGTCGGTGGTGCCTTGCTCTGCGCGATAATAAGCGAAAATGCGTTGGTTATATGTAACAAAAATCCAGGTGACGTACGATCGTGAAGTTCAGATTCTACAAGTCTATTTAAATGGATAAATAAATATAAATTTAGCCCATAGCAGTTGATCATC